TTTTTTTTACCTCTCTGGTGGCCAAATGAAAATACAGGAGTTGGTCGTCGAAGCCACTGATGATTCCCGGCCAACTTATGCGTCAGAGTTCAGTGGAGCTCGGTGATCTTTGTGGAGACGAGATCGTATTTTATGAAATTCCCAGCCTTTCCATTCAAAATACTCTAGTCTCTCGCACGAAACAGATTTAAAAGGTATAAAACATTGGTCCGTTTCTTTCATACGTGTTTTGACACGTGAAACAGATATTGAAGGTAAATTTTTCCGTTTCAACTTGGGTCAATATACGTGAACCATCGCTTCCCCAATATCTGCTCTGCCGAGTGATCTATTTGAGTTTCGTAAACAATTATCAATATTTATTTACTGTAAACAAAGGAAAAGAAAAAAAAGGAAAACTAACGGTAGCTATGAAAAAACACGCGAATCGCTCGTGCTTTCAAATTTCTTTGGGGCGAAAACAGTGAATATTCAACCATGGAGGTCCAATATAACTTTATGGGACGAATAAAATCAGCAACGCCAGCTAGGGTGGCAGCATCAACAATAACAGCAAATCAAACAGATGAGGGTCAGCAGTAATTTAACTCGTTGGCGCGGCCGCGGCCAACATTTAGTCCGCAAGAGTTGGCTGCATTGTGGCGTACTTTACAGCCTGTACTCTTGTATATGTTGGTGTATACATGGTATTGTATATGGTGCAGGTATATACATTAACTTCACGCATCTGACAGAGATGGAGCGATGCAAGCTCGTGCTTACGTATTACTTTGGTCAAAAGTGGCATCGATTTATGCGCTGTTTAATGCTAGTGCTCGTAAAGCACGAAGGAAAAAGAAGGGCAGACGAGAGTTATCTTTGCAAAGAGAAATCGCCGCAGCGGTGTGACGGACACATCGATTTCAAGTAACATTCTTTTTTCATCTTCACCTCTGATTTTTGACGAGACTGCCTTACATTCCTCAAAACAAGTAGTCCTTCATAAAATGACTTTAACAGTTTTTTGGGCTTGGATAAATTAGTAGCAACCTAGCACAAGAAAATTGTCCTCAAATCACAATAAAACCGTTATCAGATGTTTATAATAATAAATACTGTAATATGCTGCAAGTCATAGCCTTAAGAGTGATAATTATTGCAAGCTCGAATTCACCCCCACCCTTCAAAAATCCATCACTTTTCAGGGACAAAGCAATTAAAATGGCAAACAACTCTGGTGAAAAAAAAAAAAAAAACAATCCACCAATCACCAAGATGATTACAAGTTTTGCGCCCGAACGCGAGCAAAATGTTTATCGTAACTTTGCGGACACTCGACAAGAACTATCGTACCTTCGAGAAAAGAGCGCTGCTCCGGTAAGTGCTCCAAGTTCGACGGAACATACATTGCCCGAGTCGAGCTGTAAATTCTTGAAAATTTTACTTCAGACCACGTTTCCTCTTTTCTCTATTTACCACTCCTCCCCACCCAACATCGAACTTTGGCACACTAGCCGAGATCGTCTCCTTCAATTTTAGCAATGGCAAAGTCGCGGAGCTCTCCTCGCACCTACGTTCGTATTCGCTGTTTCCTCGGTTGTTCTTTTTTCCTTTCCTCGAAGAAGACGACTTTGGGCGCAGATATATGAGACCTTTCGCTGAAAATAGTACACAGTTCTCGCGACTGCGACGAGAAACTTTGGGTGCGTGCGGGTCTCTTCGCGACACACCTGGAACGAAACAAGTTTTGCGTAACCACCCGAGAGCTCCGGCTTTTCTTTTCCCCAAGATTTCCCTCTCTTCCTCCCACCCGGCCTTTCTTCCGCGCACCTACGTTTTTACAGCACTGTATAGGATGGAAGCCTAACCGAGCGAGCGATAAAGCGAGATGCTATTGGATTTCGCGGGAACCTTCAACGCTTTGTGTTTTTAGGATCTTCGAATGTCCTTCCGTCTCGAGCAATCTATTAAAAAATAAGAACCGGAGAAATGGTAAAACTCTTCGTCTCGATGCATGCACGGTTATTTCGCCAGAGGCAAATGGAAAAGAGAGAGAGCTGTAAAAAACCCCAAGTTTCGTCGCCGAGTCGAAATCCAAAATCCCTGTGGTCCCAGCCCACACTTCCGCGTGGCATCGGGAAATAAGCTGTCGATCCGACGAATGAAGGCGATGGGTTCGTAGCCTCCGACTTTTGGCGAAAATAAAGGCGTCAAGGACCACGCGAAAATTTAAACTTGCGGATGAGCCTGCACGGAGATGAAATTTCGTCGGCCTGTGTGTACGTGTACGAAAACGGATTTGTCGAGGCCTCGAGTGGGGTGCAATTTAAAAATATATATTCCTTCGCTTCGCTTCGTCGTCTCATCCCCTTGGGACGGGTCTCGACTGTATTCCGGGCCGACCGAGGCAGAAAATTCGCGTTTAAAGTTACATTTTTCTTCTTCCTACCTACCTCTTTATCACCTGTTTATTCATCACTCAACGTTTTTTTCCAGCGTACGATATTCAAAGCTATACTTGCCTAGCGTACGTTCTTCACATAAGCAGTGTTAAAAAGTTTCGTTCGTAAACTCGTCTTTTTACCTTCAATTTGGCCAACTTTCCAGTCTGTGGAGCGACAAAAATCAAAGCTACCACCGCGTTCTCGTGCCAAAGGTCCACTCCCGGATATTGGATAGAATTTCATAAAATAAATACGAGATCCTTTTGTGTCGCGTCGGGCTCCGTATCCCAAGGCCGGAAAAAAAAGAGGAGCAAAGCGAGTCCCCTTTCACCTCTTTGCAGCGGTGGGTCGTACGGCACACACACAAGCGCAAGATTCGCGTTTGAAAACCCATCAGAGCTCAAAAGCCCGTATAAGTGAGCGACGAAACAAACAAATAAAAGCTCTCCAGCTGCACGGACCGAGCAAACAAAGCGTGGAGCCAACCACCCCCTCCCCTTCTCCTACCTATGTACGTACACCAGACAGAGTGTACACTCAAAGAGCGTGTCTGACAACCGGTGTTTATTTTTTCTCTTTCTGGGGAATAAGTCGGCGATGCAGTAGTTTCTCACTCGCTCGAGTATCAATTTAGCTAAAGGTACGAGTGTGCGTGTACGTGTTTGTGGTAGGTGCGCCAGCGGGACGGGCCGATCGGCCTTCTCACTTTCGTTCGGGCGTGATATACTTTTGTCCGGCATCAGCGGTAGTGTGTTTTTAATTTTTAACGGAAAGATGAGAGCTTTGGTACGCGTGTCGGAGATGGGCAGAAATGCTCAACTACTTGACATTTGTTGGCAAATGTTTACACTATGCACTTTTTACCCCATACGAAACTAACCAAGTGCTGATGCTGATGGACATGTTGGGATGATGTAGGAATCAACTGAGAAGTAAGCAAAGGTTGGAGTGTCCCAATGTTTTATCAACAGAGGCAGGGCTCGTGAAAAATTCTCTTCCAGCTTAACTAGATTCGTATTTTTCAACGTCGGGGCGGCCCTCGAAAATTTTTTCAAAAATACAATCCCCAGAGCCGAGATGAATTTTCTCGCTCGCACCCCCCTATAAATCATATTAGAGATGGGTGAGAAAGAAAAGTAAGGTCCATTGTACTTTAGTTACGTCAAATGGGGTAAAAAATAGCCGGGCCGCTCTCCCGTTGGAAACCTCTTTTTTTCCTCCACTGTGAAAATACAAGCAGGGGAAAAAAGAGAGAGAGAGGGAAAAATAAAAATTCAAAAGAGCGTCCTCGCACGCATATATATCTGTCATATGGAGAGAAAGGGGGGGGGGGAGAGAGAAAAACAAGCAGGGCTCGAGAAAGGGAGATATAAAGGAGGTCATCCTGAAGAGAGCACTGGGAATTCATTGCCCTCTTCCGCGGTTACGTCCGCAACAGTAAGATGTACGCGTATACGGTACACGGAGCTGAGAAAGACACGTAGAGTGGAGAAGGAGGGCGCCAAGGGACGGCCATCCCTTGCACTTTTCTCTCGGTACGTGCGTGTACGTTCGTGCGGGGAGGGTGACTTAGAAGCGCTTGATACGACGTCACGTGTCCGTAGGTCGACGAACCATATGTGAAGCCAAGGGACATTCTTGCTTACCTCTACTATAACACGCTGGGGACGACTGT